ACTATGCACTTCTTTTTTAAAAGAAGCCATCCAAAAAATATCATGCGTCTCGTACCCGATTCTGTACTTGATGATCCACATCGCGAGGTATCTCAACACGTTGAATGGAATGCGGGCCGGTGCTGTTATACAGCAAATCTTGGGCTCAGAAATAGCGGTGCAAGTATACAATCACATGCAGTGAAGAACCGGCATTAAGATATAAAGCTCATTGCCTTTCACAAACTTCAACAGCGCAGCACATCTTGCGTATGATCCAAATATTGTACTCATCGCCTCATCAATTGACGACATCACTATTGTGACATACGACAGCATATAGTCTGGGCGATGGATAGTTTATCCGCCTGCACATCAAACCGTCTCGGCTTACACGATCTCTCAAAGGTCGTTTAATGCCGGTGTACATAACCATTATAGATTACAAACGCCTTAGTCCAGCAGGTGCACTCTGAACTTGATGATATTGTTCAGAGAAGCTCTTCTCAGCAGCTTACGGCTGCAACACTCCATCGCAACCGCACGTTGATCCCGATTGATATCGGCTTGAGTGAAGTGTAGTCTGCTGCGATTGTCTGGAGTGTCACAGACAACGTGGAGTGGCCGATCTATATTTCAAAGAGCCTGAATCACGGCATGCATGATGCTGTCTTCATAGATTTACACTCAGCTCCTACCGTTCCTTAACATCCTTTGACGTCCCCTTTAAGTGCATAGGTGAGAAGTGGGAGATAATGCTGTGTTAGCATAACTTGTATCGTATTTGTGCAAGTAGCTCGTCAGGCCAAACCACTTCCTCAAGTGGTTTTGAATAGAGACACTGACAATCTCCACTGGCTTTTACGTTCGCCGGATCTACTCGCATACCGGGAAGACTTTTTGTCAGCGTTGACGACAAGTTATCTGTATCGGGGATAGCCTATTAAGTACATTCACTGCTTAAATTTCAAATATGGTATTCCTATCTGACATCACGTGCTCTGCACAACCACAGAAGATATAACGCCAAAAAATGTTTGTGTCTAGCCACATTGAGACTCTTACCCTCTATGACGCTAGACAATTTAACGTTGCTGGTGCATCGGCAAGTTTTTGTGACATAGCCAGCAGCTCTTTGGGCATCTCGCTCTGGGTACCCACCGTAATGTGACAGATATCGCTGGCTTCTCGTCAGCAGGAGGGAATATCCATAAAGCTGAAGGAGGACTCAAAGCAAAACGCTTGTTAGCCATGCTGACCTGCAGCAAATCTTTTTTTACATATCGGCGTTTGCGGAAGAACTGTAGCTCCATTTTGCTTAATATAAACATGCACATGTCGCCACTTGCCGTTAGTTTCTTTGATAAAAGAAGCCAGAGTTGAGCGGTTTGATATTTTCTTTGCCTCAAAGAATGCGTCAACGACATCACACTATTCCCATGAAAAGGCTCGTTGCAATGTAATGCGATATATAGACTGGAACCAAGTCTCTTTCATGACGCAACCCCCTGTTTTCGGGGATAAAACGTGATGTCGGTCTTTCATCACTACGTCGTGATATTTAGAGACAGATTTTTTCGTGACGAATGGCGAGCTTAGCCCCTTCTTCGGTACACTTATACCATTCGGGTGACTCTACCGCCCTGAATATTCCTTTCACATCCTCGTTGATCTTTTCTTCGAATCTGCAAGAGGATCTGCCAGATGTAGTTCGGGTAGCCTTATAAATCCAAGGGTTCTCCCGACTACTCAATATATGAGTAAATAATCTTTTGCGCCACTAATACATGGAGCTCCACTGCTCCATATAATGGGCATATCACACGATAGCGCTGACACAGCAGTAGTGACCAGAATCAATAAGAATCATCCGCCTAATCTTGAGGGTCTGGCCCCACTACCGCGATTCTCAGTCGCTTTTTATCGACACCCGGCCCCTTGGTAAAAATTTTAAATTATATTATCAAGATACCTGATTGTGGATGTGCATTGGAGACAGCAGCTCACAGCTGTTCATTACTATCCAGCCAATGAAACTTTGGGATTCACGATATACAGTCGTATTTCCCGCTTAAACAGAGATATTTAATGGTGACTGCGATGTACAATGACCCATTTCTTTATCATCCTGAGGCCACTATTAACTGCCTCCTCCGCCTTCGAAATCTGTTAGAGGATCCCAGCATATCCTTTGCTATCATTCTTGGAATACGTATGTCCTACGGGAAAGCTATCGGAATTTCGTGTCCGCACCAAAGCTATTTTGCTTTTTGACAGCAGCAACTTCATGGCTGGCCTACGCTCCACACCAGAAAAGTGCGTAGCACCAACTCGTTTCAACTTCCAGTTGCCTTTAATCGTGGCATTCCAACCACGTCATTCGTAAAATCAGATCGAATCTCGAACACAAATTCGAGATAAAATAACAGCTCACGCCTTTAAAGTCCTCAAACTTTACTTAGCATTTTTGACAGAATCTTTGATACTTCTATCAGAGCACCGACTCAAGACACATATATATACGATCCGTGTACGGCCATCGCGTTCAATCTTCTGTTTTTGATGGTTGCGTTAGGTACAAACCTGCACATTGATTTTGGATCTATCACAATCCTTCACGACTTAACATAGCCTGGGACGTTGAAAATAACAATCAACAACCATAGGCTGTGAATCCGCCTCGATTTTAAAGTACCGCCTATTAAGAGTCAAGCTCCATTAACGACCGGCAAGTACTATACAAAATCAATTTTGTCGCATTAGGCGCTAGACGGCCAACTGGGTCCCAATGTTTCCCCGGGAGCCATTTTTCGACCAGACTTATGTGGGAGCCCGACATTCGTACCTTTAAAAGATGACCGAAAGGATACTATGATTTGAACAGCCACATAACATCAGGACGAGTACCGCAGAGCTGCTTAGCAGCTGAGATTCCTCAGCATGGCCGAGGTCCAGCGCTCCTGACTCGCTCCCAGAACTTCTATTTCTAGTAACCCAACCGACCGTCGTAGTTTAAAAAGCATACTTCTCATTGAATGCTTTGTCAAAATAGGAAGGTGCACGCAGATGGTATTCGTGTGAGCCGCACACGTTCGGTTACTCGCAACAGAGTGTCCGACGCCATTTTGGTGATGTAAACTTCTCAACTTCTGGACTTACTCCGCCAGTTCATGCTTCTTTTGAAAGGTGCACAGGAGTCTTAAATCCGCGCCATGAATTTGTTTTAGCGGTGCAAGCACTCGCGACATCAGTCACTTGAAGACTGCTTATCTCCTTTATCAAAAATGTTGCACTCTAGGGTCCGTTTTTGCACTCCATCGTTCGGTTTGGTGCACGGCCGAGATCATGGCTATCTTATCCTCCCTCATTCAAAGAGTGACAATCATTCATCCTGACCCTTCATGGCCTGGAAGCTAGCATCAGCGGCCACATCGTGGGTACCCGAATTCCCTTCTCAGCTGGGGCACTTCTGGACGCGCCTCAAATTCCACGACCGAGTTGTGAAAGGCGTGAAATTTCTGCAAGGATGGAACGGGAAATGTTCGGGTACCTGGATTTGGGACTTTTAGACAAGGTAAACAAGCTTATATCTATGTCGATCATATTTAGATCATGAAACTTGTTTAGGCCGAAGGGGCAGCAATTGCTCGCCTAAGCGCTCAACAATATAGATAATGCACAGGGACTACTACATGTGGTACCAAGCGCAATGGGATTGCATAAAGCTTTGAGTCTAAGATTCCGCGTTAACTACGCACAGAAGTCGGATTCGTTCGCTCCGACCAGAAGCGACTTTTCCGCAACTAGGTGTATAGTTAGCTTGGCTGTTCCAAGAGTGCATATTGTTAGGATGCTATTTACACTGATTTCAATAATTTTACGATTCACTATATACTTTGATATTAGTAATAAATCGTCTGTCTTCTGCCATATTGGTAGCATTCCACGTGTATTGGTGACTTCTCCGTTCAGGCGTTATAGCACCTACATAAATGTCAATACATTTTATTTGCGAGTATCTATTTCACCGAATTGCACTGTCAGTTTTATTCTGTTGCACCGTATCAATACAAATACATTAAATGTAGCAAACAAGATTGCAGTACTTGACCGCTACAGCCTCAACATAGCAAAGCAAGGTTTTAAAAACCCTGTTTGAAGTATGGCAGAGTCAGTGTTGGCAGGATCAAACATACATGATCCATTTATGATCCATCATTTTCCTTTAGTGTACAAAATGTAGCCGTTGCATTTGCCAGGCTGCCAAAATCACTTTCATACAAATTTCAGTTCAAATCGACAAAATGGGTGAGCCGGATTTCAGAAAATTAAATCCCAAGAATCTGTCTAGCCTATTGTCTGACTCTAAATATGTAAATTATTGGCGGATGAATCCTATTCTGAAGAGATATTTTGATAAAAAACATTGAGACATAATTCCTGTCCGCTACATACACGACTTTTCATTCTCCATTTTTTTCTGTTTTACGATGACACAGCGCCCAAACAGCGCGGTTGGAAGTGGCATCAGGACGGGCGAATGATGCGCACGGGGCATATCAGATATACGGATTGCACACTTGCTTATATTAACACGGTAGGGGGGTTTCACCGAGAAAGAGAATAAGTTGGAATTAGGATTAGGGTCAAGTTAAACGATAAGCTGAAGACTGCACTGCCGCGTAGTCGAGACCCTCCTCTTATGAACAAAGCTTGCAGTCTATCCTTATGCGACGCTTGTGTCTAACTGGCTTAGAAGTTGTATTAGAACGCGCTGAAAATCTTCAGGAAATCTACAAGCGCCTCTTCAATCGAAGTGATGGAAAACGAGCAGAAATTCATTTCAGGCGACGCATGTACTCTACAGCGTTGCGATCAGTACAAAGTAAGATGGGCGTGAGGAACATCTTAAATTGTCTGCTCTCGTTATAGATGCCAAATAAAAAGAGATTCTATTAAGCACGATCTCTTTACTTAATAAAGTCTGGGGTCTCAATATTATCTGGAGAACATCGCCTACATTAAATATGACCAATATCAAGCATGGAAATGGCCGAGTTAATTAACGACTCAATGTTGCGCTGATGGCGGAATAAGTCTTCCTTTACTGCATCCAGCACCTTAGTGGACTCTTCACTTAATTGGAGATAGCTTTTCTAAACGTTGGATACACTACATGCGGTCCTTCTTCAGCTTAAAAAGCGCTTGGAATATGCAAACAGGTCCTCTGAAGTCGACTTGTCGTCAGAACATATCCCACGCATGATCACAGTACGATAAACCTGTCCGCAAATGTGCAAGACTTTGACGGACTACGTGGACTTCCGCTGTAGCATCTTGAACAATTACTGGAACGATATGTCTTAAATCATTAAACAGCACGCACACTTTTTCTTTTAAATATTTGTCACTGTAATGGAATTGCCCGTCCGTGTAATTACTTACTGAGGAAGGCTTAGGTCAACCGACAAGCCTCATCGTGTGTTGCTCGCCTTCCGCGGGTCGTTGACTTACGTAGAGAGAACGAAAGGTGGAGTGACATTTATCAGTACAGCCAATAGGCTTGTAACCTCCCTAACCTGGTCGGTGCTCCCAGTTATGATACTACAGCAGTGAAAGGGGATATACAATTGTTCGTACAGTGTATATATTCTTTAATTGTATTGATCCGAACAGGCACAAACCTTTGCCCCGACAGAAGTATTTTATCAATATTACATATCCTGCTTATATACACTCATGTATACTCATGTATACTCATGTATACAATGAATGTGCACTCTTACAGTCCATTCGTCTGCGTCTCCACTTGCTGGTCATGATCTCTGCGCTCGCTTGGGTACCGAAAGGTGCGTCGCGGCGCGTTCCTGAGAGACTCAAGCTGACCGAAAAAGAGATGCAAATGCTGCGAAATGTTGCGACAGAGGAGGAAGCGGAGGAATTGAGTGCTTTGGAGGACTCTATGGTTGAAGAGAATGACCCAGCGCAGATAAATGAGGATGAGAAGGATAGCAACGGCCTTCCTTCTTCGTTTAAAATGGACGAATATGAAGAGGAGGATGATGATGCTGCGATCAAGAACTATATTGGTGGCGGTGCTGGTGCTGTTGATGATGAGGAAGAGGACGAAGCCACGAATTATCAGGTGGACGAGGAAGACAATGCATCAATGGAGAATGATGAGGAAGAGCAGGATCATGAGATGGATCAAGAGGATGTAGAGATTCGACCTACAGATAGTGTAATCCTTGTGGCAAACACAGAGGACGACTTTAGTAACCTTGAGGTACAGGTGTACGACGACGAAAACGGTGCATTGTATGTGCACCACGAGATTAATCTACCAGCTTTTCCATTGTGTATGGCTTGGATGGATTGTGCTCCAGTACCGTTAGATCCAATGACAGGGCCAGTGAATGGTAGCTTTGTTGCAGTGGGTACGTTTAAGCCTGGTATTGAGATCTGGGATCTCGACGTGCTTGACGTACTCGAGCCGACTGCCACATTAGGCGGAGAACAGAGCGAAGAGTTGAGAGATGTTGCTATACCAACGAAATTTCAGCGGAAAAAAAACCAGAAGACAGTACTCAAACCAGGCAGTCACCAAGACGCGGTTATGTCTCTTGACTGGAACAGCAGTCACCGTAATATGCTGGCCAGTGGTTCAGCTGACTCGACAGTTAAGGTTTGGGATATCACGACACAAAAGTGCTTGTACACTATGACGCATCACAACAATAAGGTGCAGAGCGTTCGTTGGAATATGGCCGAGACAACAGTCCTCGCCAGCGCGTCATTCGACCGAACGATTGTGGTCTTGGATGGACGTCAGCCAGATGCTTTTTCAAAATTTCAATTGAGTGCCGAGGTAGAAAGTATGGCTTGGGCACCGCATAATCCAAGTACCGTTGTTGCATCTTCGGAAGATGGTGTTGTAGTCGGTTTTGACGTCCGCATGAACGGGTCGAATCCGTTGTTCCGTCTCGATGCTCACACTGGTGCCGTATCGTCTATTTCTTTTTCTGCTCAGATACCTGGTATGCTTGCAACTGCTGGCGTTGACAAGACTGTGAAGCTTTGGGACCTTCAAAGTAACGCTCCTGTGTGTGTGGCATCGAAGGAGATGAATGTTGTACGTAAATTTGTTTCTGCAGTACACACTCGTAAGGGGGACTCTAGACTGACGAGAATGTTTTATGTAATGCAGGGTGAGCTATTTGCTTTGTCATTTTACCCGGATTCACCATTTTTGCTCGGAGTTGGCGGGTCAAAAGGTATTTTGGCACTTTGGGATACCTCTGAGAACGAAGCTGTTGAACGCCTGTTTAGCTCGCGCGTACATGGAATTTCAACGCCTGCGTCTAGCGGTATCTCGTCATCTTTTCAATCGCCTGATCAGCTTGGCGAAGAGTTAGCACGAGAAGAGGAACTAGACCGACAACAGCGGAAGAAAAAGTCAGGAAAAGGCAAGAAAGGAAAAAAAAAATAGATTATTGTTCACCATATACCTTTTCAAATTACGAATTGCTGTTACCTCAAGTGCAATATTTGACCTCGACACAACTTGTACTATTCTCAAGCTTTCCACAGTCTGACATATCGGTCGCTGCCGTACGTGGCTATAATATTGCGGTGCGGATGGTGAGCAATGCCAATAGCGTCGGCGTTACAAATTTGCATCGATGACTCAAGATGTCCACTTGCTGCGGCGAAGCTCACAAGGTATCCTTTGTCAGTCACGCCATACAGCCACTTCGCACGCATTGAGAGCGTGCAAGCAACAAAGTTGCCAACTTTCCTTTCATTAAAAGGATCTCCCTTGTACGTCATCAACACGTCTCCCTTCATTGACATGCGGAGCATAGCACTAGTGCGTGTGCAAACCATGATTTCTTCCCCGGTCCCAGACGCAAACGGAAATAATAATGCACTCACGATATCTACTTCTGCAGCGCAAAAGTCACTGGGTAGTCGCACAGTTTGCAGACATTCTGTCGTTTTGGCATTCCAAATCCTTAGCGTTCCATCGCTTGATGTTGATATTACTTTGCTACCGTCCAAAGAATAAAATGCCGCATTTACGTAACTCTGATGACCACGAAATTCTTTCAGCGTCTTGCCTGACTTAAGGCCGTGAATACGAGCGAGATGATCACACGATGCTGTTAGCAACTGAGTACCATCTCGTGAGAAGGTAATACACTGGATGCCTTCGCTGTGAGCACTTTCAAAACGACGTAGACACAAACCGCTGGATATTTTCCACACCTTTACTTTACCGTCTTCACTTCCTGTTGCCAGCAACTCTCCATCTCGACTAAAGGCTTCAGCTGTCACGCTGGCATCGTGCATCATAAATTCATCCTATACCACAAATAAATTAAATGCACAGAATAAGAATGTACAATATCATTTCACCGCACCTTTGCTTGGTAGTCGAGATCTTTACGCATTTTGCACTTTTCAAAGTCCCAGACCTCAACAAAACCATCTTTTGAACCTGTCACGAGCATTCGTCCATTTCGACTGAATTGTGCACATTGCGGCATTGAGGTCTTGCCAAACTTTATCTTGCCTGCTGGTTTGCATACCAGCTTGTCAGAACGGTCAAGTACCGTTTTCTTTGCTCCACCACGAAACAGATCAAAGTCTTCTCCAGGTGTTGCTAAACCCTGCAGCAAAGATATATGAATATTACCAACTAGTTTACATTGCATTCTGTTTCATCCAATTTCATTATAACCTGCAATTGCTGCCACTGAAGAGCTTGCCCGAGAAGAACAAGTAGTCTAGATGGCTCCACAGTCGTCACTTCATTGCGAATCTCTTGCGCAACGTCATCTCTTCGCTTCTGTTTGCAAGTACCATTATAAGCTTCGAAGGAGTCGAAGACTGGAGACTGCGCGAGTTTTTCGAGTTTCATAAAACGCTCCGGTTGAATTTTTTTCATTGTGGCCATGACTGGCGTGTTGTGCAGTAGCTGCACAGTGACATCATTCTCCTGAGCCTCCATCATGTCAAAAGAAATCAACTCGTACAGGTCCATCATCGTGGCGGTGCTGCACTCAAAAGATTTTGTTTGTTGCAGTACACGGTCCCAACGGCCGTGCGAGATATCGCTAGCCAGTGATTCTACCGACTCTACACAATTGAGACTCACTTGCGACTCGTCCTGCAGCGCCCGCAAGGCTTTAAACAAACGATTCTCGCGTAGAAACTGCTGAATTAAGCGGATAATGTCGCTGGAATCTATTTCCAATTCTTGCGAAGGCACAAGAGCGTTTGTCGAAGCTGCAGCTTCCATTGCTATTGCCTGGCTACGTTATTAAGTAGGAGCAGAGAGGTGACAGGTATATTTTTTCTGAGACAATCCTTTTTACTTGTAATTTATCTCGCTTTCTCCTACGCAATGTTTTATTTTACGATTATCTTAAATTTTTTACAATCAAGCCTTTTGGCTAAGGCAACCATTTATACGCCGCATCAACAGGAATGTCAATGCGAGACACTCTTCGTCAGATGATGTTAATAACATCAAGGCTCCGAAGGAGCAGGGATTGGAAACCCTGGACGACACAAAGTGCGTGTTTCCACTGGTCTCGAAGATTCGTAAAACCTCAGCAGAGAAGAGACGGTGATGCCGAATGTTATCTACAAGACGCAGGGCGTCGACCCCGACCCAGAGTGTGTCTACCGTAGACGATAGCGCACTATACGCCCTTGTTAACGGTATGACGGGAGAGGAAGACGGCGATGTCACCCTCGAGGCTATTCCCGCGTTGGATGCTCTTCTTGAGCTGGACGAGCAGTCCTTCGGAGAGTTTGGCGGTGCCTTGAAGGCAGGCAATTTAGCCGAGGTGGTCATTGTACGACCGAACGAGGAGATTAACTCGTTGTTGATTCTAGATGAATCTGTCCTGGAGGACACCAAGAAGGTGCTGAACGCGCGAAGTGAGTCTTCAATCTTAAAGGATCCCTCGGATCCGTATTTCCTTGGTGAGGGAATTACAAGACGTCTTTTCCAGAGACCCGCCGTCGTTCCTACCTACGGACCAAAGTGTGCGTCATGAGATCGACCTGGTTCTGGGAACCAAATGCTGCGTAACACGTCAATGGTTCCTGCCCAAGGAGCAGTGTGACGTCGTTGACGCCTTCTTTCGGGCAAAGCACGACGCAGGAATGGTGCGTGAGAGCAATTCTCCTCATTCGACACGCACGTTTTGTGTCCGGAAGCCGAACAGTAAATGGCGTATCGTTCAGGCATATATAAGCTCGACGCTGCCACCATTTTGGCACAAACGCCAACCCAATAGGAAGGATATTCTTCCAAACAACATGGTTGGATGTACGAAGTATAGTGCACTCGACTTGGTCGATGGTTATTACCAATTGCTCATGATAGCGAGTGATAACCCGCTGACAGCGGTGAGTACTCCGAGCGGCATGCTCTGGGAGTGGCTGGTGATGCCCCGAGGGCTGTCGAATGGACCAGCAACATTAAATCGTCTTGTGACACAATTGTTCAGGTCCCACCGGTCGTATATACAGACATTACTTCGTCCACAGTCGCGCGGAGTACGGGAGAACGGATGAAGAGAACAACACCGTCCATTTGAGAGCGGTGCTCGAGTGCATGCGCACGAATAAGCTGTATACCACGACGGACAAGTATCTTCGCCGCCGAAGAAATCCCCTTTTTAAGGTGCTTCATCGGGAAGCATGGCCTTCGATCGAATCTCGCTAAGGTCGACGCCATTGTGGACTAGTCGGCTCTAAAGAACCAAAATGACTTGCGCAACGCCAACTACATGCATAAGTACAACGAGAATCATGCGAAAATGGCACGGCCATTATCGAATTTCTTTAAGAAGGATGCGGAATGACGTTGGGACTCGAGCATCGGGAGGCTTTTGACGGTGTTGAAGATAGCCTATTTCGTGCCCTAGTACTGGCGTTGTTACTAGACCCTGATCGTCCTTTCAGTGTCGTCTGTGACGCCTCGGACTTTACCTTCGGCTGCAAGCAGACGCGGAGGGGCGAGATCGGGTGATCGCATTCGAATCTCGTCAGCTCAAGGCTGCAGAGGAAAGCTACCCAGTCTACGAAAATATATTTTTTGCGATTAAGTATGCACTTGTCAGGTTCAGGGTGCACCTGCTCGGTTCCAAGTCTATTGTGATCTACACAGATCTTGTACTGCGACTCCGTCGCCCCACCTCTCGCATAGGATGGCCAGGTGGCTCTCCTTCTTCCCAGAACATAACTTTGAGGAGAGATACAAGCCAGGAATGTGTTGTCACGCAGACCGAATTATGAACTTGCTCATGTCACGACGGTGACGTAGTCAGTGACGGATTCGATCCGCGCCATAAACGCGGGTGATGATATGAGCGTAGCGCTGCTACGAGCTCTCGGGGGCAAGGAGTCTGAAAACTCGGACAAGAAGTTGTCGTCGCGATTGCGAGCACGAATGCACCTATTTTCTCTGCGACATGTTGCTGTATTGTAGCACCGATTCGACGGATACGCCACGAATTGTGGTTCTTCACGATAAAGGTACCATGTACCTATGAGGCCCACGACATGGCTATCTCGATCGTGAGAAGACGCCCAGCGCTGTGAGTTGCCACTACTGGTGGCCCAAGCTGTACAAATTAACGAGCACGTATGTGCGCACGATTGAGATGTGTCAAGGGGTGAACCCCTCTCCGAATGCGGCGGAGCCGCTGGTCAGTCTGCCGGTATCCTCCGGGTGTTGGCAGTCCATGTGTTTCGACTTTTTGTTTGGCCTGTCGAAGGTCTCGGCGGGCAATACGGGTGTCGTGGTCTTCGTCGGCCTTTGAGCCAGATGACTCATCTTGCGGCGGTGCTGGACACCATCGACGCTGTCGGTACAGCGACACTGTTTGTGGGTCGTGTCTTTTAACAACATGGACTCCCGGGGTCAATTGCCTCTGACAGAGACCCATGCTTCACTGAAACGTTTTGGCCGACAATCTTCAAGGTGCTGGACGAAAATCAGATATGTCAACAGCGGACCATCCACAGACCGAAGGTCAAACTGAGCGTATGAATCGCATCGTCGAAAACACTCTCTTCGCAGCGCCTGCGTCGAGACGCCGAGGCACTGAGTGCCATGCTGCTACTCGTAGAGCTTGCTCTGAACAATGCAGTGCAGTCGTGTACCGGCTATGCAGCGGGGCTGCCGTAGCTTCGCTGCTTAGAGGAAGCGTTAGTTAGTTCACCGACCTTTCGTTCTATACTTAGAACAAGAACGAGTTTAGCGGATCGCATACGATTTCTCCAAGAGTGATTACAACCTTAACCTTAGGCTAATGAACGCTTCCGTTTAATATCAAAAACTGACTTTTATTTATTTTTGTCTGCGGCAAAGCCGCCTAGTTTTTAATGTATAGAGTTTACGTATAGTAAAACCCAAATACATGTATAACTACTGCTATCTAGCCCCGTACCGTATTCTTGCTTGGGTGTGGTCACACCATGCCCATCTGGTGTGACACACACACCTGTTACCAGGGTATGTGTAACCCCGTTACACTCTCCCCCATTGAGATTGAGAACATTTACAGTTCCAATCGATTATTGCCTCAACGAGGCTTGCGTGTCCATTAGACACTGCGTTGGAACAAAACGAATTCCGTTCTTAATGAT